AACCGATCTCGTTACCTCCAACACACACTTTCGGTCGACGAAGGTAGTCGAATATACCGATACACAGCGTACGACGTGTCTAAGACGAGGAGAGTGGACGCAAGTGGCACGTATGCAGTCCGTTTGCAAGACGCCCTGAATGCTCGAGTATCCTCTTTCCTCGAAGCTCTTAGCGCTATTTAGCGGATCCTTTTACGGGACAGCAGGACTCGACAAGAAAGGAAAGCGCGGCCAAACGGGGGAGGAGGCCCGACGAAACAACGGGACGAAAAGAAAAAAAAAAAGAAAAAAAAGAAAGAAAAAGAGACGAGTTCGAAGAAAGAGAAAAGGAGGAAGAAGAAGAAGAAGAAGAAGAAGAAGAAGAAGAAGAGAGCGTGCTGGGGGCAAAGACGGAAGAAGGAGACCAAGAGGTAGTAGGAGAGGGGGTGGGGGGAGGTGGAGTAGCAAAATGGCAGTCGGCTCGGCCAGTCCAGGGACAAGATAAGCCTTTGTGCCCTTGCCTCGGGACCCCAAGATCCCCTTTTCGTTTCGATCTCATATTTCGCGAATCTCGCTATCATATTTTACTCGTTGCTCGCCTCCCCCTCCCACCCGTTCCTTCCTCCTTCGCGTCTTTCATACCCTTCCCAGTTTCGAGGCCCTCTCGGCCCTCATTTTTTGCTCTCCGGGTTTTCGAGGCCCTCCGGGGCTTCGAAAACCGTTCTCTACCTTCTCGATCCTTCAACTCTCCCCCCAACCACCTTCGATTGTTCGCTGCTCTAGTCCAGAGAGAGCGTTCAACGAAGATTTCTGTCCCTCGTCTACTCCGTGAACATCGTACTACTCTCATTGTCGCGCGGCTATATTCCGTGCAATTGTTGGATGACCAACCCGGACAATATTGAATTTAGGCAAATACTGACAATAAGTTTGTAACAGTCCACATAAAAGTGGACTGTAATAGTTAGTCATAAGGGCAAGATCCAATAGTTGGTCGTCTATGCTCCTTCCCCTTCCACTTGACGATGATAACCCAATATATATATAAGTACATGCTTTAGAGACATTCGCGCTCTTATAACATTCTAAATCATTATAGATTCATTCAATATCGCTAACTCATAAAAACATTCTATATCGTGAAGAGCATTACATTATCGTTCATCATATTCCAAGATATTCTAAATCATTGTATATCATCCTATTTCATACACGACCACGACTGTATGGGAATAAACTGTTCTAAATTGTAAGCGTGTTGACTCCATTATACGGAATCCAACACAATACTCATTATGTTTGCAAGTCGCTGAGCTACGACCGCTGTTCGTCGAACTTACATACATCGCGAGCGTAAATATATAAATCTCGCGTGGAAAGAATGGCGATTCTTCGAGCGGGAAAAAGGGAAGAATGAAAAAGTCGATTCGTCGATTCGACGTCGTGCAGAGAGAGAGAGACGAAAATTTCTCTTTCATTTGCGTATTTATTGGCTCGCTGTCGATTAATTTGCAGTTTTGTGTGTTAAATTTAATCGATCCGAGTATTAACAGAGCCCACCGAGACCAACATGCGGTTGATCATCCTGCCGGACGAATCCCCTCGGGGGTAGATGGACATAGTCCAACCGGTTCCCGAAAGCAGGCACGAAAAGACGAACGCCAGCCGGATTGAATTATTTTCGCCAGCGAGGCTCGCAGTTGCTTCTTTTCCCCTCGAATCCACCTCTGCGTCACGACGATCAAAATTTTTGTCAACTCTCTCGATTCGATCGGCGATTTGCTAAAATACCGCGTACACCTTTCTGTAATTCATCCCCTTTAACCACTTTAACCTTGTTTCACAGCTTTTATGTATCGTGTTTATTTTCTCAGCTTATTCTTCAATCGTCATTTTCACCTGTTTTTGTAACTGTCGTTATTTATCCACCTTTGTCTCTTTATTCTACTATCTTTTTGTACTTTGTTTTTGTTTTAACATTTGTTTTCGAATTTTTCCTCTGTTTTTTTTTTTTTTTATATATATAAGAAGGGATATTTTCTTATTTTTATCTATTATATCCACTAAGATTTATTATATCCATTTTCATCTCGCTTATTTTATTATTTATCTATTTATACCGTAGTATCGTCCTTCATTTTCAATCTCGAGGCTTGTTCTCGTAATTTTCCTGTCCTTCCCCTTCTTTGTATAAGAATCGATTTTTCCCTATTTTCGAGACTGCATAGTTGCATTTTATCCATCTTCGTCTCATTTATTCTCGTCGTCTATCTATACTATATCACTGTCCTTGATTTTCAATCGTGACAGTGGGATTTCACCCGCATCATTTGAACGAATTAAATCGAGCTAAATTAAATTAAAACGTACGATATGAAATTCCATCTACACTGTACAAGAGCCAATTAAAGTGACGCGCGAGCCTCGAGAGAGTCGACCCACAGTCCCATCGGACAACTAGAACATAGATTCACCCCGGATTTCTCTAACCGGGCGAATCGCGAAGCAACCGGTAGTCCATCCTTCATCCTGGGAGGCGTTTGCCCGATTCCCTGTCGATTACACGGACGATTATCGACCGGCAGGATCTCGATTGGCCTCTCTATGCTAGGCCCTTAAGGGCCTATGTCTGCCTCTCTCTGCCTCTTGGCAATCAGGAAGACGATTCCTCCACCAGTCAGCGCGTAGCGCTGGTCAAACAATTAAGGTTGACTTACGCGTGACCGAGGCGCGTAGCAGCCGCGTTAAAAGAGCAAACGAGTTACCGGCCTTGCCGCGCATCAGATAATGCAAAGCCGAGACCCTGTCATCTCGGAAGAATTTACCGGCGACACTTCGCCGGACCGAGCACACACACACACACGATCCTCTCGCGAAGATCTTTCCTCTCCGCGCTATCGCCACGGCGAGATCTTGATTTCCGCCGTTGGCGAAGCGTGCTCCTCGGTTCACACCACACCATAACCAAGCTTTTCCACGAAAACGCCACTGCCTTTCGCCTCTGTCGTTCGTCCATCGCGCCACGCAAAACGTTCTTTGCTGGCCATCACTCGTAATTACGCGTGGCGAACACATTCGGCAAGTATTCATTACGAGTCAGTTTTAGTTTCATTACGAGCGCACTAATTCTTTGAGTAATCACATGTTAAAAATATATAATACACTTTGGCCAGACGAGTTTCTCTATTTTTCTTTTCTACTCGACGGTGGAGTATTTATGCGGTAAAAAATTATTGTGATAAAGAATCTTTCATAATTCAGAAAAGACTGGTCATAGGCGTGACTCTGAATCTCTTAAAAATTTAAGGTTAGATTTTCGCTTGAAAAGTTGAAGTTAAAAATGGAAAAAAACATTCCAGGCCATCGTCAAAATGTTACCAGGAAATTCAAAATAGACTCGACAATGGAATAAAAAATCTTTCTTAATATACTGTAATTCTTTGCAGGTGTTTTCAAAACTTTGAAGTTAGATTTACGAGAGTCGTATATATACCGCATCTATTATCGTATTAGAGTAATCACATATTAAAAATATATAATACACTTTGGCCAGACGAGTTTCTCTATTTTTCTTTTCTACTCGACGGTGGAGTATTTATGCGGTAAAAAATTATTGTGATAAAGAATCTTTCATAATTCAGAAAAGACTGGTCATAAGCGTGTCTCTGAATCTCTTAAAAATTTATGGTTAGATTTTTGCTTGAAAAGTTGAAGTTAAAAATAGAAAAAAACATTCCAGGCCATCGTCAAAATGTTACCAGGAAAAAAAGATTCGACAATGGAATAAAAATCTTTTTTGGAATAAAAAATCTTTTTTAATATACTGCAATTCTTTGCAAGTTTTTTCAAAACTTTGAAGTTAGATTTACGAGGGTCGTATATACTGTATCTATTATCGTATTGGAGTAATTACATATTAAAAATATATAATATACTTTGGTCAGACGAGTTTCTCTATTTTTTTCTACTAGACGGTGGAGCATTTATGCGGTAAGAAATTATTGTAATAAAGAATCTTTCATAATTCAGAAAAGACTCTTAATCTCTTAAAAATTTAAGGTTAGATTTTTGCTTGAAAAGTTGAAATTTGTTAAAAAAAAAAAAGAAAAAAACATTCCAGGCCATCGTCAAAATGTTACCAGGAAATTCAAAAAAGATTCGACAATGGAATATTTGTGCGATGAGAAATTATTGTAATAATAAATCTTTTTTAATCTACTGCAATTCTTTGCAAGTTTTTTCAAAACTTTGAGGTTAGATTTACAAGAGCCGAATATATACCGTATTGGAGTAATCACATATTAAAAATACACTTTAGCCATCGAGACGAGCTTTCTCTATTTTTCTTGTTCAAATATTTATACGATAAGAAATTACTGTAATAAAAATTCTTTCTTAATCCAATTCGGAGAAGTCTGTCTACAGATATAACTGTTAATCTCTTAAAAATTTAAGGTTAGACTCGAGAAATTAGGTTAGGTCACAATCAAGTTTGATCAGGTTAGGTTTGAAAAAAAACATTAAAATTTGTTTCCAAAAACGAACATTCCAGGTCCTTTCGAAAATGTTACCAGGAAATTCAAAACAAGATTCTACTTCAAATTGACGGATCAAACAAACTCAGAAAATAATTTGATTTTGGTGCAAATTGTCGCTGCGAAAGGAGGGGGGGGGGGGTGACTTATTTAAAATGTCACTTAAATTGAATCCAGATACTTAGAACGATTGTTCAATAAAGTAATACCGAGAAATGATACTGAAAGTGTAAATTTTTCCCGCGTGGGCAACACGCATAGAACGAAATAGTTGGACCAAACAGTTGAACCTGATCGAGCGTGTATTCCCGCGCGATCCGTAATCTGGTTTACTTACGGTCACGCGAATCACTGGGGGCTATTTGTTCGTTTGCGGTGTTCGCGGCTGCTGACACGTTTCGAGAGCCACCGGCTTTCGGCAGTCGGGGGCAGCTGTCAAAGAGAAAACGAAGGAAACGACGAGAAGAAAGGAAGAGTCTCGCTTACCAGGCATGCAGACGCAACGGAAGGTGCCAGGATCGTCGAGACACGAGCCGTCGTTCTGACAGGGGTGGGACTCGCATTCGTTCACGTTTGTCTCGCATCTCGGCCCCGTGAATCCCTGAGCGCAGTTGCAGGCGAACGAGCCGGGCGTGTTCACGCAAATACCATCGTGCTCGCAGGGCGATCCTAGAAAAGACAGTAAAAAGAAAATTTAGTAAATGGAGACAGCATTTGTATCTTACAACGTCATAAGAATTTTTCGACAACTTTTTTATATTATACATACGGCGAAGAACTGTACTAATGTATAATACAATGAAAAATCGATGTAACTTCGTTAAAAGAGATATTACACAACTATCCACTTAATCTCATTCAACAGTCTCTTTTCTTCAAGATGATTTACTACTATACCTACTGTTTTCTCGAAAATTGAAAAATTCTTTTCCACGACTGAATCCATCAGGTCTTGAGATTTTCTGTTTGCAACGAGCCTTTAAAATTCGCTGTACGAGCTTTTTTTTCTTCAACTTGGAACATTAGAGGATTTCCTGAATTTTTCTTGTTCAATCTCAATATTCAATGTTCAATAAAAATCACGCGACAAGTTTGCTGCAAGGAGACTTCATTTTCTCGAAATGACGGTACAAAGAAAATGTTTTGCACACTTTAGAATTTTGCAACACGATGCAAAGAGACTTCTTTTTTGCGAAATTATATCAGTTTAAATTATCATTGTGATCGGTTACAGTTATGCTCTTCACTGTACGCAATAACGTAATAAATACGAGGCCTCTACAGTAACTCATAACGTCAGTAGTACTTAAGGGTTAAAACAGACGCGAACAGTAATGGCGAATAATAATAATTAAACAGCCAACAGGCAACAGTCCCTCGCGGGACGCGCGACAAATGAACGATAGTACGCCTTAATTGGCCAGTGGACGTGGTTTTTAAAGGCGCTGGCATCAGTGAAAGAGGGAAGGGAGGAGAAAAAGCGATCAACGACCACGACCATAAGAAGGAAGATGCCGTGCGCGAATTCCAAGCCTGTCTTGTTCACGAGAACGCCAACAATCCGTTTGGTTGCCCGGTTCTCTCCGACTTGCGCGGTTCGCGCTAATTGCAATAAGATAATTGCCACCGTCAGCTGTCTCTCGATTCAAGAAACGAGTGTTTCATCAGAGCACGCAACAGTTTCTTTCTTCCTTTTTTTTTTTTTTAAAGTTGAACTCAATTCGGTTAAATTGAATCTTTCGTGATATCCCGTCGTCGCGATTTTGCGAAAGTTCGAGTCCTCTCGATCTTTCACGCTGAACTGAAACACTTTCAAAGTGGTTTCTTGTCTTTCAGTCGATAATAGAAAGATTGAAACGATAACGCAAGTTTGGCTCGCGATATGAGATTAATTTCTTTCTCGTATAACTGTTCACGAGCTTGGATTGAAATACGAGGAGAAAATAGAATTGCATCGAACAATCCATCGTTGGATTAAATTACGTGCTTTCTTGCCCTTTAGACGATAACAGAGAGATTGAAATAACAGCGCGAGGCTGGTACAAAGTCGCTACTGTATCCATCATCCTTTATCGTCGCGTTCGTACGCGATTAACGGGGTACAGTTACGGCAAAAAGATACAAATCGTCCCGGAATAATCAGGCTCGTTACGCGGCGGACTCTTTAGCGACTCGATGGAATTTAGAAACTCGCGCCAAGCCTCTCTCTCTCTCTCTACTTTCACTGAAAAAGACAAAGAAGTCGAAGCGGGTTTATCACGCGAACTCAGACACCTTCAATCGCTTCATCACCGGTGATTTCTGCATCGCGGTAATTAAGAAAGAGTGATTTGAACGTCCAACAATTATTATCTATGGATCTAATCAAGCTCTTGGAGATACAAATAAAATTCAATGGCTCGAACTTGGGAAGAAACTTTGTATTCTTCTTCCTGGTTTCTTTGTATCGCCATCCCAAACTCGATTTGTTTTCAGTGTTGTTGCACGTCCACTTGTATTTATTTTAAGGTACGACGGTAAAATTTAATGTTTTTTTTTTTTGTTATTATTATTATTACGTAGTGTATTTTTTCACAGTACGCATGTATGTAAAAACATTAAAAAATTTTGTTCGCGACTAAATTCGTTTTCAATGGTGGTTGTGAAGATTGAAATTTTTCCTTAGAACTTGCTGTACAATTTTTTCTCATTGATTTTTTAAATATTTTATATGTTAAATATTAAATATTTATTTAATATTAAATTTATTTTAAATATTAAATATGACAAAAATTTAAGAAATTCCAACATTTTGCCATCTAACTCTAATGTTCAAAATTCGATAAAGAGAAAAATTCAATCTTCTCAAGTCACGAAAAAATTTTTCAACGTTTCTATTATCGCTTGAATTTTCGATAAAAAAAAAAGAAGTATTCTTATTTTCTCACCTGATGTAAAATCATCTTTGAAAAAACGCTTTAAAACGAGGCTAAGTGGATCGTTACACGATCTTACACGAAGTTATATCATATTATCGACAATGAAAAATAATGATAAAACACTGTCGACGATATGAATGGACCTTCAACTATCCTCCTTTACTGAACCATCATACTACGATCAAAATACAAAATTTTCCAAATCTTACAGGATCGACCAACTTCTCCCGCATGAGCTGACCATTCAGTTTCTCGCGGTTCCTCCACCATAAAAATTATTTTGTCTCACCGTAGTGGACCATACAATTTACATTCTCTATTTTCCTTTAGCTTTAGCTACAGTAAATAAAACAATTTATACGTGTACATACGTATATACCTAACGCGAATATTGTGGCCGCGACACTCTTAACCGGCACTGGAAAGACGGATTCACAGTGGAGGGGATAGCGAGGAGGAGAGTGGGGGGCGAGGGCCGCCAGTTAGCCACCTCTGATCTACGGCAACTAGCCTGACTTACCGACAGAATCCTCGAACTTTGCGAGGATCGTCCGACGTTACAGGCCGTTCCTTAGCATACAATGCGTTGCGTTCGAGGCTGATTCTCCGGCCGGACAACTAACAAACACGATTACCGACGATATTTATGAACTTTCCGAACAACGAGGCCAGCCTGGATCGTTCGTGAAACGGTGCAGCCTCTGACTGGCAAACTCCGCGACGGTTTTTCCAGCTGCGCGTAATTGCAGCGGCCGCTCGCGACGAAAGGGACGAAGAAAGGGGGAAAGAAAAAGCAGCAGGCAAAAGGGGGTGTACGCGTGTTACCGCGGGCAGCCGGGAGGAGAGGAAGAGGAAGGGGGCGCGATAAGAAACGCATTGCTCGGCCGTGTTGGCAATCGGGGACGAACAGATGACGAATCGGTCGACCAGAAGACGAGACGATCCTCAAGGACGGCGGCCGCTGATCCTACCGACAGATGATGCGAGGAAGCGACACTTGAACTACCAAGTACGACGCGAACGGAGAAGAATAAATAGATAGATAGCGGTCACGTCGAGATCAGGGACACCTTGTTATTCGCAGGGATCGGTTACTCGAAAGCCGAGCAAAAGAGTATTGAGATTTGAGAGTTCGAAACTTGTAGTTTTTCTTTCTTTTTTTTTTTTTTTTTTTNTTTTTTTGGGGTGATTCGAAACTGAAAGTATGGAATCGATGAATGGAAGAATCGTTTGCAGTGTGAATAAAGAGTGGTCTCATATTTACGAACGTTCGATGATCGATTTCTGTTTTTATGGATATAAGTAGACACAACTTTAGAATGATGATATAGAAGAAACTTTCGACATCTTATCACTCTGTCATCAAAGAATTTTCAGTCTGATCGAGAAAAATCGAACTAGGTTAGAACCTACGTTCTTTTCTGCCTCAAAGTTTAAAAATAATCCACGAGTGACGCGACGATCAACAAATTACATTGATACGTAAAATTATTAGAGACGAAAGATCTTGGATGCTATTTGACGAAGCACGAAAGTATTTCGTTGGAGAGCGAGAATGACACACGAAGGTTAGTTGTTACGTAGCTACGTGAATGAATCTCCGTGTGTCGCGACAGAGGTGCAGAGATGCAGAGCATCGGCTTGAACACTTGGCTCAGCGATTCGGTTAATTGCTTTGGGACACCGTCTCGATCGTGCTTAAAGCAGAAATTTCTGTAGGCCATTACCGGCGATATGGAAGGTTCGATCCCCATTCTCGAATATAATATCACGGATAATCGATCAGTCGGACACATGGGCAACATGGAAGCGGCAGTTTACGAGTTGCGTTCGGTCGGTAGCGCGCAACGGTTTTTCTACTCCGGAGTGTCTGCCTCCGTAGAGGAGCCTGCATCACGAGGAACTTAATCTACCAGAAAATATGCAATCTAGATAATAACAGAGCAGAGGCTCGAGCCGCGAGGTCATTATGGTTGTTATTAAACTTAAAATAACAATTTAGCGTTTAATTAGATTCGTTCGTGCATCGCTGCGCCACCGTTGCGGCGTCGTCCCCTGAGAGAAGAACACGCCAGGCCACGCCAACTCTGCGTCTCCACCTAAGCCTCCACTTCCGGCAAAATCTTATTACCGACGTCCTGTCCTCCACCGGCCACCGCATCGTGCCGGATTCACCGGGATTTTTGTAACTGAAACGATCGTGCCAGTCGTATGTTCTATCGAGAAGTGATTTATTAATAACGAAAATAAAATTGCCTGTATTTTAATATTATTAATTATACTAAAATTTGCATTATACATTTTAATAATAATATTATTATTATATTTTAATTGAATACTTCAATTTTAATATTAATATTATATTTCGTATGGCAATTCAGTTGAAACCTCTGACAGCTCTCCGTTAATTTTTCTTTTAAAGACGTTCTTACGTTTTGCAGCAAATGGGAAAGCTAGGATAATTTTATTTAGTGAAAATTGTCAAAATTCAAACGTCTCGGAAATCTTTTTCAGAACTAAATCTAAACACGGTCTTCTCTTAAAACTTGCTATACGTATTCTTTTTTTTTTTTTTTTTTTTTTTAAAGGGTTAAATGATTCTGCGAATTTTTGTCGTTCGACTCCGACGCCCAGGATTCGATAAAATTTCTTATAATAATAATAAAATAAATTAACAATAATAATAATAATAAAATAAATAAATCAATAAAAACGTATTTTTAAAAATATCAAAAAACGATTTTTCGAAAA